ATGGTCGAGTGGGGAATCCTACTAAGACATCAGAATTATTTTAAATAATTAAATTAAGTTTTGTAATTATTTGCCTAATTTTTTGACTAAAAAATATCAAAAATAAAATACTATTGATTTTTACAATTTATTTTAATTTGGTTCACTGTTCACTTTATGGTGGTTCACTGTGTCTACAACGTGATACACAGTGAACCACTCGTTACTTTTTTAAAAAACTAAAAGACTGGTACTTTTTTTAAAATAACTTCGAATTATTCATAGAAATTGAAAGCCAATACTTCAGCGAATAAGTTAATGTATAAATTTCAGAAATATCTAGTAAAACCCTGCAGCTAGCCTTGCCTAAACAAAAAGTGGATCACTGTGGGATAGTTTACCCTATACAAAAAAATTATTATAACAGATCAGCACCAAATTAATGATTTACAAGTTTATTCTTATTATCTATAAAATAGGTTTGCAATGTGCTGATGTGGAATGTTATCATCGACTAAAAACTTTAAATCTTTGTAATAAATTGATCGAAAAGGATCCATAAATTGGTTTAGACTATGTAGAATGTTTCTATAAGCAGCGACTAACTTTTACTATAGAACCCAAAGATCCTGTTAATAGGGTTCTAATTTAAAATAAAATATGTACCAAGTAGAAACAACATTTTCCAAGTAAATGCAGTAGTATTTTTTAATTTTGAATTTTGAGAGATGCAGATTCTATCTTTGGATAATTCATTTTAAAAATGGTAACATGAGAGGTTTTCTGTCTAATTGTAAATAACGACTTATAGTCGGCTAATAAAATGTAAAAAATATAGAACATAGTATTTCTGGGCGAAACGCAACTATCCCCTATTCTGTACTCCCCTGATTAAATTTACTTGTAGGAAATGACACTAAATCGATAAGATGTCAGATCAAAATCTGGTGACTATAGCACTAATGATTGCCGAAAAAAAAAAATCATATTTTATGCTATATCTCTCTTAATAAGGACTATCCATAACCATATTTATTTAAACTTTTTTATCTCTTTTTATATAGAATTATTTTTAAAAATGTATGACTTCCAACCTGAAACATCGTGAGAACTATTTATTTGTTCGATCAATATAAAACTTACGCCGGTTCTGTCCGAGCCAGCACTGTTATGCGCGGGCAGAACGGAGAAGAGTCCCATTTTTACCTGATATAATTGCCGCGTTTGAGAATCCACATCGGATGCATCTGAGATATTGTGAATTTTTTATCACGTGATAGAGAATTAGATCTAAATGTAGATGTAATAAACAAACGCTCTAGACTTTATTTGGGTACGTGATAAAATGTCAATGACAAGTTAGAAGTTTATACTTATTAAATTTGACTTTTGAGACTACAAATCAACCTAAATTTAAAATATAAACAAAAATTAAACAAACTAATCACTTTTATATTCATGCTAGCATAAACAAAGGATACATTGACAAACAAGGCTTCACAGAACACTTACTTTCTGGCATGGAACGAACATCTCATTCACATCTCATTTCAAATCGAGATGTAAAAAATGTAATCTGAACAGGTACATCTGGGATAAACAAACGCAGATGTAGATATAGTAGATGTGTCCGATGTGGATAAAAAAACGCTTGAGATGTAAAAAATGCATCCGATGTGGATTCTCAAACGCGGCATCTGGGGTCTATTCTGTAACAATTCCTTTATATTTAACGGCCTTTAAAAATATTTTCTTCTTTACTTCTGTCATTATTTAAACGGATCTTTAAAATACGTTAGAGGACTATCTTAAAGAAATTTAAATAATGACAGAAGTAAATTAACGAATACGAACATATTTTTATAGGCCGCCAATATTTTTAAAGGCAGTTAAATATAAAGGAATTGTTACAGAATAGACCCCTCTATCGGTCAAAAATTTAGATGGCCGAGTAGAGTCCGGGGTCAGATTAAATCATTAAAGGATTAACTACCTAGATTACGAATTTAAATATTTAGTATTATTTTATTATTATTATTAATATATATATTTCAAGAACTACCTATTATTTGTTTGTGAACATGAAAAGTACATTGGTCCCCTTCTACATCCTCGAAAATAAAAATATTTAATTATGTCATTTGTTTATTACCGTTTTAGTTTAGTTTACAAACTGACAAGTGAATTAGATTAAATTATGAGTGCACTAAAGTGTATATTTAGCGAGAAAACAAGGAGCTTCTAGTCTTAGATAGATATAAATATCGTTTTCATAAAGAACTAACTGGTGGTATCAAACGTTGGGTGTGTTCGGTAAGTGGAAATAAAAAGTGTACGGCCTATTTGAAGACAGAGGGGAAAACAAATATAATTGAAGATGTTGACAACCATAACCACCCGCCACTTGATGAAAAAATTCTTAATAGGAATGAAGTGAGTATATAATTCCTTGAAAAGAAAAGCTTTAGAAGATTTAAGTGAGAGACCTTTAAAATTCATTCACCGAGAACTGAGGAAGGGAGATGTCGAAACATTGACTAATTGCGATGTCAAATGTATAAGAAACAATATATGCCACTCTCGAAGGAGCTTTCTACCAAAACTACCAACAACTCAATGAGAAGTTCACAACGTTCTCAATTCCTATCCTGTCATGACAAATCGGGGCGAAACTTTTCTTCTTGTAAACGACACAGAAAACAATATAATTATGTTTTCATCAAAAAGGAATTTAGAGTTTCTGTGCAGTTTGAAATCTATAATATGTGGATGGGACATTCAATTGCTGCACTAAATTTTTTCTTCAAATGTTCTCCATTCACGGATTAGCAGGCGACCATTATGTACCTCTAGTCTTTTTCATACTTCCACATAAACAAAAGAAAACTTATATGTTGGCATTAATGTATGCAATACAAGAATGTCAAAAGATTGGTAAAATATTGGCACCAACAACGGTAGTGGCAGATTTTGAAGAGGCAATCCACCAAAGTGTGCTAGAAACTTGGGAGAAGACACGTATGGTTGGATGTAGATTTTATTTAGGTCAATCATGGTAAGTTATTGATAAATATTTTAATAACAGGGGTTAACCCAATAAAGTTGTGCTAGGCTTTTATACAGTATGTCGAAAAAGTTGGCATTATATGGGAAACTATTTTATTGTAAGTTTTACGAAAAAAAGTTATTCTTTATGAAAATCTCTGCTTTTGAAAATAATAATATTTAGGTATTTACCTTTGACATTAGATGTACAGGGTGCCCACAAATTGCAAAAGATTAATAGGAATATTATGACCACTTCAATTTCAACTTAAATTTTGCAAATTTTAGTTGTAAAACACGTAATTTTTTAACTTATTTAACAAGTCAACACACCTCAAATGTTTATTTGTTGATTTGAAATATTTTAGCAATGAACTTAAATCAGTAATAAATAAGTAATACCCAACAGAATAATGTATTTTCTACTGTAATACACAAAAATAATTTAAAATCTAGGTGGCTCTGACAATGACATTTCTCTTGCCAAAAGTCATTCTAGTAAAAGCTTTCGAGAAATAAATAATACATCAATAAAGTTTTCGATATTGTAAAAAATAAATGTACTTTACTCTTGTATCAAATTAATATTTTTTGACAAACCTCGTATACGATTTAAAAAATTTACATCTGACATTTGCATTTTACTTGATGGGCCATGCACAAATGTTTATAAAGAATAACTTTTTTTCGTAAAATTACAAATAAAAAAGTTTATCATATGTTGCCAACTTTTTCAGACATACTGTAGATGATCGCAAAAAAATAAAAACAGTATGATTTTTTTCAAGGTTGCTTGGGGACTGTCTTTTGAGTATCTTAACAAAATATTACACTCAAACTCCTGGTACGAATTGCGCTATAAGGGTGGTTTCATAAACATTTTTTAGAGCAAATTACCCTTTATAAAAGTTGTAAAAAATTATGAAACCACTCCTAGAGCGTGCGAAATTTTGGTCAACCCTAAAAAATATATATTTCAATGCTGTCAGTTGACTAAATGCAACATGCACTTTTCAGGTGGCGAAAAATACAACAACTTGGCCTTACAAGGATAAGGATTCAGAAGTTGGAAAATTTTTGAGAAACTATTTTGGTTTGCCGTTTATTAATTCAGCAGATGTTGGAGATTGTTTTGCTATTGATTTGATTGCTTCTCAACCCAGCAATTCCCAACTTACGTTATTCGCAGATTATCTTGTAGATATTTATATAACAGAATCGTCCAAATTTCTACCATACATATGGGCTGAAAATACAAGTAGTGTAAAAAGAATCACAAATGCCTGCGAAAGTTTTCATTCACGGTTTAATTCGTCATTTTACCATTCGCATCCTCATATTTTTCAATTTATTACACAATTTTAATAGATTTTCAAAGTGATACATATATAAAGATTAGGACAGCGCAACAAAATGAAATGAAAATATACTCTGCAAAAACTATAGAAAACAAACAATTTTTGGATGACAAGATATGCCAATTAAAAAATCGGGATATAACAAACTTGGAATTTATTAAGGTAGTTAGGAATCGATTTAAAATTTTGCATTTTGCATTTTGGGTAAATAAAAAATAAATCCCTTTTATTTTATGTTATAAATATTTTAAGGCGCTGTGTATGATTAATAAATATATTTTTTATCTATATGGTTTACTTTATTGCCATATTTCCTTAAAAAGTATAATTAAAAAAAAATAAAATTAAATAATTCTGCCACCTGCATTTATTACTATTTATATGGCTACCTAAGATAATGAGCTCCGGACTCTATTCAACCATTTCCCGGACTCTACTCGGACATCATTCAGAGGGACCCACAGAAGTCGGGACTACTCGAGATCACAGTTATGCGCATGGGCTACGACACACTATTTTCTCCTTGTGGTTTTACTTTTGATGTATTGAATTGGCGTTCTATACTATTTCTATGCCCATCATTCTAATTATTTCAGTTAATTTAAAAGTATGACTTACTGCAAGGTAGTATATTCTGTCGAAATCATCTGTGGTTAAGTGATCATCAGCGATACCATTTTCGGAAATCCAGATTATTGGGTTTTTGTATGTCTTTTTCATCCAATTTAGGTAATATTTTAGGCCATCTGGATAAATCTGGAAAGCATTAAAACAATTAATTAGTATGGGATGTAGTGTAAAATCCATACATACAACACTTTAATATTAAGGAATGAGGCATAACCCAGAGTGCAATTCGTAGAGTGTTCTACTTTTTCAACCTGGTTAAAAAACCGGTAAGTTTAAAAGTAGTTAGAAATACTAAGAAAACAGTAGGTACTCATACAAAAGACAAAATTCACATGAATAATCTATAACGCCCCCTCAAAAACACGTATGATTTTAAAACTAAACAAACTTAATAGAATAATTTAGATATTTTGGGACCCTCGCACAGTGGCGCGGAGCGCCACTGTGCCACCCAAATTACTCTACGACTCACAGGATTGATCCGTTTTAGACGTGCGTCACCTTAAAATGTTGGTCTTGAGTTTGCCTATGGACTCTTGTTCCGGGATTTTTGATTTCGAATTTAATTTTTCTGTAATTTGTGTCCAAAAATTTACTTTCATGGAAAAATGGCGATTTTGGGTGCAAAAGTCATCCTAGCGAACGCAACATTGAGTTTTTACAAAACTTTTTTGAAGGAAACTCTTCCTCTTGACAACCCCTACAACCCTGTGTACGTCAAATTGCGAGAGAAATTGGCCGTCATGCCTAAAAACGACCATAGTGATCCAAAAATATTGATGCGAAAGGAAATTGTTCCTCAAAAATCTATTGCAACAAAAATCTAAATTTGTTTCAATAAAAAGTGTTTGTAATCAATTCAGCAATACGTACAAATTTTCTCAGAATGTTTGAGGATATTTTTGGCCATTTAATTTGGCCAGGAAATCGCCAAATTCCAGAATCTCGGAAAATTTCCAAAAATTCTGTAAACATTCGGACATATTCCTTAGGTGATACTGAACACTTTTCGTTCAATACAAGTTTCTCATAAAAGTCTTTTGGAACGTTTGATTTTTGGCTCAATTTAACACTATTTTCCTCGATTTTTTTTTTGTAGAAACTGAACACTGAGTTTCTGGGAACAGTTGGTAGCTCAAAATTATTCCAATTTCTCTCGCAATTTGACGTACACAGGGTTCTAGGGGTTGTCAAGAGGAAGAGTTTCCTTCAAAAAAGTTTTGTAAAAACTCAATGTTGCGTTCGCTAGGATGACTTTTGCACCCAAAATCGCCATTTTTCCATGAAAGTAAATTTTTGGACACAAATTACAGAAAAATTAAATTCGAAATCAAAAATCCCGGAACAAGGGTCGATAGGCAAACTCAAGACGAACATTTTAAGGTGACGCACGTCTAAAACGGATCAATCCTGTGGGTCGTAGAGTAATTTGGGTGGCACAGTGGCGCTCCGCGCCACTGTGCCTCGGAGCCTCAAACTAAATTACAATAAAAAAATCTGAAAAATAACTTTGGACTCATACCCGTCAAATTAGAAACAGCTAAAATAAAACAAAAAAATTTTAGGGCCAGTTTTTTCATCTCTGAGTAAAGTTAAAAGTAACTACTTGCTGATTAAACTATAGGGCTATTGTTTGATAATCTGTCAAGTAAACATACACGTAACTTTACTCAGAGGTAGAAAGATCGGCCCTAAATCTAATTTATTATTCTGACATAAATCCGATATTGTGGAAATTGATAAATTGAAAAATTATTCAAGGGATCTAAAAACACATGCCTCAAAAAACCTACATTATTCAAGCGACATTGCAAATTACACCGAAGAAAAAGTTGAAAGTAAAATAGTTGAAATTTTACCCCCTTCTTCAACTCTTAGGACAAAAAGGGGACTCATTAATGGGCTAGGATCTATATTCAAAGCTATATCAGGTAACTTAGACTCCACTGATGAAGAACGGTATGAACTATTAATAAAACAACTCCAAGAAAATCAGGATAAGATGACCATGTCGCAACGCGGGTTTTATTCCCAATTAAAAAATTTTTCTTAATTTTTAATTTTGGAAAATTAACTTACGAAATTATTTATTATAGAAAAAACGTGTAATGGCTACTGGTTGAGAATAAGTGAATGAATCGACTTTTTCACTGGATTGTGTAATAATGAAATTATATGCCGTAAAAGAAACTTTCTACTAACTTGGCTTCTACCGACATTTTTCGGATTGGCTGAAAACAATCGTATGATTTAAGACAGTTAATTTCCTTGTTTATAAAAAGTAAAAAATTGAACTGTTGAACAGGCGATCTTGTCATTACATTGTTTGACCATTGCAATTTCAAGAAAAATGCATATGAACATTGAAATATTTATCAGCAATAAATTTATTAGTTGTTAATTTATTGTATGTTTGCCTTTGGAAAATTGTAATTGCACTTTCGTTATAGATACATTGCGTCCAGTAGCATCTTAAAAAAAAATACAAGAAGATCACCAAAAATCCGAGCAAAATTTTCTTGGCCCATATGGTGATGCTTTTCTACAATTACTCAGGGTTAAAATAAGGCCAATTCAATAACTAAATTCCATTATTTTAAGAAACCGTTTTGAATTGGCTTAAAAAAATATGTACACAAATAATTTTTTTTGCTTATTATCAGACAGCACAAATATGTACATTGGACGTTCATTCGATATACAATAATGGATATCTGGACGTCTAAAAATTTGTTTTTCCTGGATTTCTGACATCCAATGGGGACGTCCAGTAAAATATACAAATGACACACTTTTGACCATTCAGAGGACGTCCAATTCTGGATTATATTTGGACATTGAATATTGGACAATAAAAAAACATCCACTATTTTTACACAACCGCAACTCACCTTACACTATTATATATTATTAATAATTTATTTATTATTTTCGCAACCCGCTATATACTATTTCTTTCTTTTTATTAAAAATCGCTTGACCTATAAAGGGATCCAACTCACGACACGTCCATTATCGTTGTACGCTTTTAACCCTTAGACGATCTCGACCAAGGAGCCACTTTTTACTGGATATGGTTATAATAGAATAATATTTTAAAATTCCTCGGATAGAATGAAATGATTAAATTTCATCAATTTTTAATGACCAATTATATTAAAAAAAAAGAAAGTGTTTTTAGATGGGTAGGTATTATCTGGTAGGCTAAATAAATATGTACATCAAAATACTACTAAACGTAAAATTAAGTCCAAAAACAGACGTCCTGTGTGTTTGAAACTTTAATTATATCTGAGTATGTAGGGTAAGGTATAGCAACTTTATTATGTTGGCATTTATTCGAAACGAAAAATTGGTAGAACCTAAGTACTTAGATTAGGATAAATAAAGTATGTTAAATTAGAGGAATACTACCAAAATATATTGAACGACATTGACGGTGTACCAGATTATAACTGGATTACCTAAGTTCTTTGTTAAGTCATATCTTGTGCACTACAACAGAAGTCCCATGAGCTGCTACTGGCAGAAACTGACTAAGCTTGTAAAAGCTAGGGACGGCGACTATTATTATTTTTGCACATACATCTATAATTTGTGCATCTTGGAGCCAATTAGAAAGATAAGTAAAACGTTATCAGTGACATAAATACATTACAACTTCTATATTATAGCCTAGAGAAGGAAGGAGTGCAGTAGTTGAATTTAAAAAACGCAGTACAAGTTCAAGAGGTGGACATTTTGTTTATACCTCATTCTTCAATACTTATTTGTAGTTAAAATAAAAACTTTAGTACAGTTGATCGGCCTAATAAAAGTTTCATTTAGATTTAATCATGTTTCTATGGTTTTTACTGTAATAAACCTTGTCTTTGGAGAGATAAGTCAGACTATAGACTTTATTTATTCATAGCCGTAATGTATGTATTTTAATTGATTCGGAATTTTGTATTAGTATACATTATAATTTTACAGTTATACAGGGTGTTTCAGATTTAAATGGACACAGCTCAATGGGAGGTAGAGTACACTTAGCTGAGTTCAAAACACCACTATACTTAGCCTTTAATCTTACTCGTTTTTGAGGTATAGGGTGTTTTATGACTTTTTGCCAAAACCAACAAAATTGGCTATTTTGTTTGAACGGCTTAAGTTATTTTAATAAAATTTAGTACAAAAGTTACACTCTCTTAGGTTAATGAAAACCATAATTTAATTTTAAAAAATTCCAGGACCGGACTCTCTTTTTTTATATTGCTCTTCTTAGCTAGAATATCACTCTGTATATCGGATTTTAATAAATGTTACTGCACATTTAAATAGTACATAGATCAACAAATGAAATAATGTGATAATATTTAATGGCACCATCTTGATGTTCTTACAATAAATTTTTATAATGGCGACTACATTATTATAAATCAGTATTTACAAAATTAAAATCAAATATTTTACCCTGTATTTTTAAATCTCTACACAAATTAGGTACCATCTTCTTTTTTTTTTTAACTACAGTATTTTCCATTAGGAAATTGAACATCTACACAGGACCGGGCTCACTTTATTTAATAAAGTAATAAAACAAACTAGCAGAAATAAATAATTAATTAAAACTAAAGTAGATTTTTAAAATAAACCACCGTGAACGCTAATACACCTATGCGAACGTTTTAACAGGTTTTTCACTAATTTGGCAATTATTTTTGGTTTATTTCTAATGTTCTTACATTGTTAATTTTTTCCAATAACTGTGCTCGGGTATTCATTTATTCGTTGTACACCACTGATTTAAGGTAGCCCCATAAAAATAATCCAGAGGTGTTAGATCTGGAGATCTTGGTGGCCAATTTGGGAAATGATGATTTAACTGTGCTCGGGTATTAAGTGATTTTTTAAAAATTCCACACCAAACATTTAATGTGTGTTCAAGTCGCTGGATAAGTCGAGGCGGTCCCGCCAATTGGCTACCAAGATCTCCAGATCTAACACCTCTGGATTATATTTTATTAGGCTACCTTAAATCAGAGGTGTACAACGAAGAAATGAATACCCGAGCACAGTTATTGGAAACAATTAATAATGTTTGCAACAATATTAGAAATAAATCGGAAATTATTGATAAATCA